AAAGCGCTTGGAATTTCTTTTTTCTTTCAGAGGGGTTTTTTTGCATTTTCTGAATCACCTGTTTACTGGATTTATTGATATATAATTTTTTAATATATATATATATATTTTATATATATATATATATATATATAAAAAATATATATATATTATATATTATAATATATATATATTTTTAAAATATTATATGCGTATTTTAAAAATTAGGATTTTGGGTGTATTGGGTTTTTTTAAAAAAAAATTGAAAGGAAATTGCTAATATTGGATTATTCTTTCTGTCTGTCCTCTGTCTTATGTATTTCCCCCTCCTCCCCCTTTTCTCTCTTTTTTTTTTTTTTTTTTTTTTTTTTTTTTTTTTTTTTTTTTTTTTTTTTTTTTTTTTTTTTTCACTTGGTTTGACAAGGTTAAGGATCCCTAGCTTTATTGACAAGCTATTTACAGGTTAAGGATTCCAAAACTTTATTGACAAAGCTAAGAGCTTTTTCCCTACATCAGCTCATTTGAAAGCATTTTTATTGTTATGAGACATACAATTTAGGGAAACAGGATGAAGTTGGAGCCATCTGTGGGCCGCTTTTCATTTGATCAACTGACGTTATCTCGTTGAATCATTATGCTGAACGAAAAGTGTTCCATACTCGAGTCATCCTGGGTATGTATGATCTCAGATGGAGTGATGTTTGGAGAAGGGTACAGCCAGAGTGAAGTTGCTGCTTTCTGCCCGGTCTTGTGCATAAAAAGCTTGTTTCGCGCTGTCCTCGAAGTGGATCCAAGTGTGGTTATTTTGACAATATTGGCCTTGTACATAACAGTAAGGCCACCCACTTTCCCTCCTATGTTGAAGGCTCTGCTGAAATGACAGATCCATCCAGGATGGGTCCAGGCGAGAGATGAGACGTCTTGCTCTGTTCTCTACTCTGTCAAGCAGTCGCAAGATGAGAGGGGGGGACAGGCAAACCAAGAAAGTGGGCATACTCAAGGTGTGAGCGTACTTGTGCCTCGTACAGTATCTTGCAACCCCTACTGTCAAGCAGATGCGAGATACGGCGAGTGCTGTAAGCTTCCTGGCTGCCTTGTTTGCAAGATTTACAACATGGTTCTTCATGGTTAGTTTGGAGTCAAATTTCACCCCAAGGATATCAACTTCTTCTCCAGGTGCCAACATCCTCCCATTCATCCTTACTACTGCACCAGCATTACCATCATGGTGCCCAGAGACGATCATCCCTTTGCGTTTTCTCAGGTGCAAATGTTACTTGCCATCTATTTCCCAAGCTGATATAGCTCTCAGCTGGTGATTGATGTAGCTTCTCTCTCTTCTCTCTCTCTCTCTCTCTCCTCTCTCAGCGGGTCATGCAGCCAGGGGTACGGGGTGGGGTCATACTCCTGGAGCGGTGACCTTCGACTGACCACCACTCCATGCCGGCCTTCGAGCGTGACTTGTGTTTACGATCTCCACCCCTCCGCCCCTGCCCAGCGTCTCCCTGCCTGCCACCCTACCACAGCGCCACCCCTACCAGTCAATGTGAGTGTACGTGGTGGTACAGTGATGGTCCTGTGACCCAGTGATGGCCCAATGTTGGTTCAACACTAGTTCAGTGGCCCAGTGATGGTCCATGACCCACTGTTGGTCCGGTGTTGGTCTAATGCTAACTCAGTGTCCCAGTTATGGTCTAGTGGTAGGGTACTGAGTAATGGACCAGTAAATATTGGTCTGGTCATCTGAAGAGTCTACCACTGACTGATACTAGTAATAATAACAATTAAGCCGTAATAACGAGGTCAGTAAAGCCAAAATAATCCTCTCAGTGTCATACTATTCCAACGAAATTAAAACTAGTATAATAAAAGCAAAATAATAAAAATTAAAGCATACTGTTTAAATAATAATAATAATAATAACAATAATAATAATAATAATAATAATAATAATAATAATAATATTATTATTATTATTATTATTATTATTATATTATTATTATTATTATTATTATTATTTTATTATTATTATTATTATTACAATAATTTAAGACTTTGAGAATGGAGGACATTTGCTATATAAACATTATCATTCAAGTCAGTTCTTATGAGACTGTAAGTCACAATTCCTTGGCTACAACAATTGCCAGTTAACCCACAGATTAGAAGTGAACACCAAACGGCATTTAGGTGAGTCCTCAACCACTCCGTCCAGAACGGACCGAAACCTCATCCAAATTCATCCAATCAGTTCGTGTTGTCAGTGTGAACAAAAAAATATATGCGTTAAAGTTTGTGATGTTACTCGTGCTTTTTGAAGGCTGACGTCTCGTAGTTTCTCTGTATAACCCTGCAGGTGGGCAGCTGTCTCCGACACTCTCCGCCCTCCGTCGGCGTCCGAGCGTGGGCAGCGTTATGAGTGTGTCTGGCCTCTCCTGTAATACTACCATCGATATCTCCAAGCCTCTCCTGTCAGACGCCCTTAAGCCCAACCTCTGTAGGATCTGTGGTAAGACCTACGCCAGACCCTCCACCCTCAAGACCCACTTGAGGACTCACAGCGGTGAGAAGCCCTATAGGTAAGTCCTACCTGTAAGATTGTGTGTTTATTCATGGAAGACTGCCAGTAAGCCTACACGTAGGAGTAAAGCCAAGACACACCGGGAGAACACGCCATTACTGAAGCGATGTTTCGCTCAGTGAGAGCTTTATCGGCTTCATAAAGCTTTCACTGTACGATATTAATTTAGTACATTTTTTCTCTCCATCTCTCTCAATGTACCTTGGACTTACTCTCATCATGATTATCATTATTATTGTTATTGTTATTATCATCATCATTGTTACATTCAAGGGAAGCGCTAAACCCGTAAGGCTCATAAAGCAGTTGGGGTACAGGAGGTAATCAGATTCAATTCGAGGAAGGAGTGAGTAGCACCCAATCCCTTGGATTAGGACCCCCACCAATACCTGCATCAAAACATCCCCTTCTATAGAGAGTTGTATATATTGCAGGAAAAAACATTTCCACTACCAAAAAAAAAAAAAAATAAGCACTCATCAATAAAACTGAACTATGTATCCATATATTAAATTTGAGGTAGGTGATAGAGATCCATCGCTACAAGTGTCTATCTTGCAGGTGCAACGACTGCAACAAATCGTTCAGCCAAGCGGCCAATCTTACTGCGCACGTGAGGACCCACAGCGGGGGAGAAACCCTTCCGTTGTCCCATCTGTGACCGTAAGTTCTCCCAGTCGTCCTCCGTCACCACGCACATGCGCACACACTCGGGCGAGCGACCCTACCCGCTGCCGGATGTGTAAAAAAGCCTTCAGTGACTCTTCGACGCTCACCAAACACCTGAGGATTCATTCCGGGGAGAAAACCGTACCAGTGCAAACTCTGTTTACTTCGCTTCAGTCAGTCTGGAAACCTTAACCGTCATATGAGAGTTCATTCTCAGAACTCCTGAGGCGGGTGAGCCGTGTTTCCTGCATACTTCACGCCCCAGTTGCTTTATCCTTTTCCAGTGTCATTTCCACTGCTACAACGGTGTCTACGGAATATCTGGAGCTATCCACCGCCGCTTGACGGCATTCTGAAAGCTACCCATGCTGCCTGCCTATTGTGACTGAGCGACCCTGGGACGCTATTCTCTGCTGTTTTTTCATCTCAGTTGAGCTTCAGAGTGCTATATCAACCGTTGTTTGAGAGACGACCAGTTATGAAAGCCATTTACTCTGTCACTCTGCTACACCATTTCGAAAATTAATCTCCACTACTTCGGGCTGGTGCGTCTCCATCTACGCAATCAGTGTGTGTTTTGTGATTTCTAGGCTATCAAGTGACTTTTAGACTACATGCTTATTCACCGCTTTCCAGGATTGGATTTCAATACCCTCTAAAAAGTACTCAACATAAAACATAATTTTATGTGCCGCCTATATCCTACCTCCATTAAACAGATCACTGACCACTACCTTTCCCAACAAACTCTCTGCTAGTGGCCCCTGGACACTTTTTGGCTTCTTATATTAAATCGGCTTAAAGTTCTGTACCCGAAAGTACACAAACTGCCTCTCTTGTTTTGCTGCACGAAGCTATACACGCTGCCAAAATAGTCTATACTGAGCCCAGTTCAACCAGTTGCTTGCCTTTAACTGATCAGCTTTTCTGTCTCATTCACTCAAACCCACAACTGCAAATATCCAGACCGATTATGATATCATTGTTACTACGACCACAAAAAAAAAAATACTACTACCGCTGCTACCACTCTTACCGCAATTAGCACTAACAATACAACAACCAATGAAGACTAACTCAATCACAACCGACAACGAGAAACTACAGATCTCAAGTTCAGATTCCCCTCAAAGATCAACTGTATCAGTGTTTCTGAGGGTCTGCCGAAGCTCAGCCACGATGGACCAGCTTTTGTACCACACCATCTCATCACCTTCACCTGCCTATGTAATTACACTCTTGGCGCTGTTTGTCTCGACTCAGTAGAAGAGCTAGGTGTTCTTACCCCCACTCACAACAGTTACGGAAAGCGCAGATCACACATCCACAGTGACTGCTGCATGGCGCAGATCACACATCCACAGTGACTGCTGCATAGCGCAGATCACACAGCCACAGTGACTGCTGCAAAGCGCAGATCACACAGCCACAGTAACTGCTGTAGAGAGCAGATCACACAGTCACAGTGACTGCTGTAGAGCGCAGATCATACATCCACAGTGACTGCTGTAGAGAGCAGATCACACAGCCACAGTGACTGAGGTAGAGCGCAGATCACACAGCCACAGTGACTGCTGCATAGCGCAGATCATACATCCACAGTGACTGCTGCAGAGCGCAGATCACATCCACAGTGATCACTCTGTTGCTGCTGCTGAGTAAAAATCAATAACAGTGATCCCATCAAACGTAGCACAGAATGGCGGACGGGGATCATGGATCATAACAACAGGAGCAGCGACAGTTGATGTTCAGACTGGCGATACAGTCTTACAATAAAATCAAAAGCAAAACACAAAGAGTATTGTATTGTGACCCCACATGAAGACTCGTCCCCACTCATCCTCAAGGACAACACTGAAACAGTTACGCATTTTGCTTTATATGCCATTGTGTTATTTCGCCCCTTTCATGACTATAAAAAATGATTTCGTTCCAGAACTAATATGGAAGCGTAACCTAAGCGTAACCTAAAATTATGGAAGCTTAACTTAAGCTTGCTAAAATTATGGAAGCTTAACTTAAGCTTGCTAAAATTATGGAAGCTTAACTTAAGCTTGCTAAAATTTGAGTATGGTTAACTTTCTTATGAACCTCATTCATATTTAGTGATTTTTTTTTTTTGGTAATTGCGACTGAAAAAAATCCATTAAAATTACATAACACGTTATATGAAGTCCTTTTTATGCGTTATTAAAATTTGGATTTAGCGCTAAAAACTTCAGTATACAGACAAGCTTTATAAGAGAGGTAACTAATAATAATAATAATAATAATAATAATAATAATAATAATAATAATAATAATAATAATAATAATAATAATAATAATAATGGCAGTGGTTTCCTCGGAGGTGCGACCAGTCTTCAAGTGATCACAGGAATTTTTTTTCCCAACATCGGAAAATTTCTGCTGTGAGTACCGGTGTTACTATCAAGTTGGTGGACGCATTAACTTAGCGGTGTGAGTGCACTTTGTGAAGTGTAAATAATATGTCATTGACGGGAGGAGCCTGGGAGGGGGGGGAGGGGGGGGAGGGATGGGAGGGGCTCCACAAAGGCTCCGCATTACGCATAAACGTTGTAATACTCAGGATTGCGAATATGGACTAGAACAACGATCTTCTTTTTTTTTCTGGTAATAAATGCTGCATGTTATGTACCAAAGACGTGTATCACTGTGAATAAAGATATGCATGTGTGTATGTATGTGTGTGTTTGTTTTGCTTGTCCTTGATCACCCCCCGTGACTCTCATTACTTCCAAACACCTCAGGTGGGAGTGAGTGCCTTGATGCTGATGAAGGGCTCTTGATCCGAGGAGTTGGAGCTATCCAATTCGAATCAAATCTAATTAGAACCTATTTTCAGGAGCTTCCGTAATACTACTACTACTACTACTACTACTAATAATAATAATAATAATAATAATAATATTAATAATAATAATAATAATAATAATAATAATAATAATAATAATAATAATAATATAATAATAATAATAATAATAATAATAATAATAATCTTTACTTAAGAAGAAAGAAATAAGTAAATATACTTGAAAAAGGACACGTTCATTATGCCAAATAAGAAAAGTTGGCCAAATAACCCAGGCTGTATAAAAATTATTTTCGAGAAGTTAATTATAAGTATTGATGGATATATTCACTTGAATTAATAAGTTTTTTCCATTTTTTTATAATTTTACATCTAAACTAACCTACGTTACTTCACCATGCTCGGATATTTGCAACAATTGTTGACAAAAATCATTGTCGAATAACTTAAGCAAATTTATCTTAAAAAGCTTGATATATACACCGAGAGGTGTGTATCTTCTAGTGTATATGCACTGAGAGGGATTTGTATCTCTCGGTGTATATACCCTGAGAGATGTATCTCTCAAAGAATATACACCGAGAAGTGTATAGTTCAGTGTACATTAATCAAGAGGTGTGTGTATGTCTCAATCAGTTATACACTAAAAGATGCGTAACTCAGTATTATTGTTTCCAGAAATGCGTATCTGTCTATACGCCGGATGTGTATCACAGTGTACATTCACCAAGAGGTGTATATCTCAACTTATATACACCCAAAGGTGTGTATCACAGAATATATACACCGAGAGGTGAATATCTTTTAGCGTATATACACAAAGAGGTTTGTGTCTCAGCGTATATATACAGAGAGGTGTATATCTCTATTTATTCACCAAGAGATATATCTCTCTCACATTTTTGTTTCTTGAAACGTGTGTATCTTCCAGTGCATAAAAACTGAGAGATTTGTATCTCTCAGAGTGTGTCTCTCAAAGAAATTACGACATATTTTGACG